TATACGATGTACAAGGGAACTCTTTGTAGACTTTCATAATTGTTATACAATTTTAAAAGACCGTTCTATTAAAAAAGAATTTCTTTATGTCAGCAGTAAAAATGAAGATTCCAGGTGCGTATTAATGTATTATAAATAACCTAACTATACATATTTCACTGCCTATATAATTTATCATCATTTATCAACAAACAACATACAACACCTATGGAAATACACTATACCTACCTTAATTTTCCATAAATTTAACATTCACATCAGATAGTAATGTTTATGTTGTTATTCTTTAACAATTATTGAGTTATTATTTATACCTATAGTGATTTAAGTTATTAAATTAATTAAATATATATTTAAAAAATCGTATTTAAATTAATTGATTAAAATTTAAAATAATAAATTATTGTGTATTTATTTTCTTATGTAAATAACTATATAGATTGTATAACTTTATTATATCAAAAATATAAATTAACTCAACCTATAAGAAGGAAAATATTAAAAACGACTATAAGGAATTATAGTAAGACAGTTGATAGTATTTTAGTTTCCCTAGCTGTTAATAACGCGTATTACTCCATAGACCTTATACTAATATACCTTATACCTTATATAAGGTCTATGTATTACTCTTAAATCTAAACACTAAAGCATAGTCTTATTATAGGTTGGTATACCTCGCTATATATTTTATGTGAATTGTGAAAAAACTAAATTATGTATTATAAAAACTTATTACAACATACGACACACGTGATATATAGGTAAATATTCATTAATAAGTTATAAAATATGATCATTGATCTCACAATTATATTGCTGATAGACAATAATAATTAGGTTGGTAGGTGTAAGCGTGTAGTAGGTACCATAGGAACCTATATTTATTGTATATAAACTTCTGTAGATTTTAACTATATGTTTAAAAAAAAAAATGGAGAAGGTAGTATATTAAATGTATATTATTTATATTATTATATTATTTTAATTTATAATACTATAATTTGTATACTATATTTGTATAGTATATATACTTCTGTAGACATGTTATACATTATAACGAGATAAATATGTCTCGTCTTATAAACTTTTCTATACAACTGTACGATTGTATTAAAGTATAAAATGATAAAACAACTTAAAGAACTTTTTTTTTTTTATTCTTTTATTAAATATTCAATCTGTTTTACAATAAAAAAACAATAAGAAATAGGAATAACAAAGAATAACTTAAAGAACTATGAGCATTTTATTAAATAAAATGTATTGCGCATAAATGACAAGACCATGCATGTAACGTCAGGCTACAACATGTCCCAGCAGTACCTACGTAGTTTGTAGTGTTTGTACTCTGCAGAGTGCATACTGCTAACTATAAAATTATAGTGCATGTCTGTGTCAGTGGTTCCTAAACATTTTAGTTTTTTTAATGACCGGCGGATGGCATAATATTGCCCCTATTTTGTTAGGAGACTGATGTAGCAATATTTTTTCTAAATTTCTAATAGCAACCAATTAAAATAAAAATTATTTGATATTATTACCTACCATTATTTTAAACTGTTCTTCTGTATATTATATGTATACATATAATAGAGTTATAGGTATTTGAATTAATTTTTTGTTCTAATTCGTAAATATTTTACTAGTTGTCTATAAAATATTGAAGCATCTTAATAAGTCGGTAATGCTGTGGCCTATTATTTATATAAAAATAGTCTATTTCTTTTACTATGATAGTAAGCTGTACCTACATGATTTTCACGAAGAAAAAAAATTAAAATAAAAAGTGAAAATTAACACAGAAACATCGAATATTTTAGCGTAGGCTTATAAAGTTATAAGTTAATAATATTATCATAGTATAACACTCGGACTAAAGACAAATTATATATAAATTACTAACAAGCCAATCGAATTATAATTAATGATCACGAACATTGTTATTAGTAATAAACTAATAAATAAAGATGATTATCAACATCCGGTCATATAAGGCTATTGGCCGTATTTATCGCATTTAGTATAATAGTAAGCATTTAAGAAAATTATCCTTGCATTTAGGTACCGCACTAAAAATTGTCAATTTTATTTATCGATCACTTACCTATTATTAATAATTTATATTTTCAGAAGACGATATTACAACGTTTCTAACAATGAGAAGTCACTTTAAGAAAATATATGATGTAAGACCTAGAGTAAACTGTTGGTCAGAAGCTTGTCCAAGTAAAAAATTATTAAAAAATACTATCAATATTCGTGATTTTCAGTAAGCTATTTTAAATATTAAAATAAATGAGAAAAATGTAATTGGAACTTATAGTTAACGAATTTTTACTTCGACTTTTTATAACTACAATTATTATTTAAAGAATCACCAATCTCCAATCATTATATACCTAATCTATATAGGTATTATTGTATTAAGTTTAAGTATAGTATACCGTATAACAACTATACAGGGTGAGTAACAGAAAATAATTCGGTAGCGGGATGGTGGTGGTTCAGCATATTTTTAATACCTTTATATACGGCCGAATGCCGATACTGGACATTACATCAAATTATATATTATGTTTAAAATGAAAAACTTTTTATTACCTAGGCATTAGCTCATCGTTATTACTGCTTAAAAAAAAAAAAAATGATTAATATAGAATTTTTAATTTACAGACAATATTCTCAATTTAAATTGTTCTACTATTGATAAATTCGAGGGGGGGGCACTCCACCACAAATTGTGGCCTTGATATAGTAGGTATATGGACTATGGCAGGGATCTTCAAACTACGGACCGCCGGCCAAATGAACAAGTTTTCACCGGCTCCCCAGAGAACAGTAGATTATTTTAAAATATGTGTTATATCCAAAATTCGTAATTGACGTACATGTCAATTATCACTTGTATGATAATTATATATTTGTATATTATATAAGTATATTATAAGAACTATTTATAAATATCATGTATATATTTCTATAAAATAAAAATTATATGTATTTATGTACTTTTGGCCCACTAAAAAATTTTGATACCAATTTATTATTTTATATAGTCCTTGAATAAAAAAGTTTGGAGACCCCTGGACTATAATATACACTGTAGAACATTGAGTATTTTAGTTTTTAGTAGGTAACTATAGGTATTAGACATTACACAAATACGTTGTAACCTTGTAGGTTATTAAAGACAGATTACAGATGTCAGATCTATTATTTTTGTATTACTATTTAATTAAAATTAAATTTTTTTTAAATATTATTACTCCACTATTCTATTACTAAATAATATTTTAAAGGATGGCAGTGCGTTGAGATATTTTTTCTTTCTGACTATCGAATAAAAATAATATAGACAAAATGCGCATTTGCTTAAAATCATTTTTGTAATCTTGAGTAAAATCGCCAATTACAAAAATTAAAGCCAATAATATTTTTGAGCATAATATGGGATATTGATTTACCTAAATAGTGTCTCAAAACAATGAAATATCTATTTCAATTTACAAATTTTATTTTTATTTTTAAACTCAAATAATAAYAAAATATAAAACCGATAATATGTAAAATCCACAAAATTATTATCCTCTGTAATTTTTTTTAACATAATGTGATTTTACTCAAACTAAGAAATCATAAAAAGAAAAAGATCTTAAGAAATTAAGTTGACATTATAATAGGTAACTCCATCATATTATTTTATCTAACAGCATCGGTAGTCAGTAGATGTATCAAGTAAATTTTCAAGGTGATGCACTTTTCATACTCGAATGGATATGAATAACAAAAATAAATAATACAATCTATAATCAATGTTTTTAAGACTGTAACTATTTTTTAGAAACTAAAATTGAGGTTATATATTTTATATTTAAATGCTTATAATAAAGTATAATGATCAAATTTCTGAATTAAATTTAATTATAAAAACAATTTTTGGAAATCAATATAATTTAAAATACATTTTTTATTTTGTATGTTAAATCAATGAATACGAATTAATACTTAAGAGCAAATCAGCGCCATTATTTTTTTCTATCGCTGACAGTCAGACCCAATTAGAAAATTTGCGTTCAGCCACCCAACCTGAAGTTTCTCAGGAATTTTCAATGGTGGGAGGAGAGTTATGGATCATTTTTAGGAAAATATGTAAGGGGTATACAACTCTAGTTATGACATTTAATTTTGTTTTTAATATAGTTATATTATTTCTATCAATATTTTTTTTTCAGGTGCAACAAATATAATATATTTAATAATATATTATAGCTAATTGTAAATAAAAATTATACGATATAACAATGAATTTTCACATCATTAAAAAATATAATACGGATTGATTGCAAAATAATAAAAAATAAATGGTCAATAGGGAGGGGGAATTAAACCCCATGTTCCGCATAAGTCATCAAACCTGCCCGCGGGGTTGTTAATTTTAGTAATTTAGGGTGAATTAACCAAAATTACCAAACTGTTGTCCATATGCTGGCTATTTTGTGTATAGTAATTAAGTGTCTCCCCCTTCCATACATACAACTAAGTAAAATACACCACTGCATTGAACCACCTAAAAATTTGGGTGGGTGCTGAATGAGTAGGTAAAAATAATTATCTAGAATAATATTAATACTTATAAGTACATAACGCATTTGTACAGTTATTATTGTTATTAATTTATCAGCATATTATAATAGGCTGTTTGGCTGTTTATCTAAACGATTTTTGTAACAATATTGATAGACGATAGTTTAGATAATTTTAGGTTAGGGCTTTAGTTAGAATCGATCCACATTTTTTTTACTGAACTCAGCACCACAGTGCCAAACTAAGCAATGATATCATCGAATTTAAATTTTAACATATCTATAACGAGTATCTATTATTAATTATACCTACCTACTCAAATGACGAAGTACACTCAAATTCTATGCTATACCTATAACAGAAAGATTTCTTTTGTAGTTTTTGTTCTTTAACTAGGTACCTAAAATTATTCAATGTTCTTAGTTCTTATACTAAAAATTATTTACAGAGTTCTACCACATTATTGTAATTCAACAATTAGTTCTACAGCAAAAAAATCAAAACAACAAAAATATGATAATAATAAATTATCTCGTCCACTATCAAGTAAAAAGAAATCCATAAATGGAGTAAGTATACATATTTCATATTATTAAACATCTAGGAATTCTTTATTATATTATATACCTAGACCAGAGGTTCCTAAACTTTTCATACTCGTGGCGCCCTTTTATAACTGAAGTTTTCTCATGGCGCCCTTAATAAAATTTACGACCTTTTTTTCATCGTAAAATATCGTTGTTTATTTTTAGACCAGATAATATAGTCCAGCGTTTCCCAAACCATGGGTCGCGACCCATTATTGGGTCGCGA